TGCTACTGGTCCCAGTGCTGCTACTGCTCCCAGTGCCCGAAACATTCCCAGTGCCCGTGCTGGTCCCAGTGCTGGTACTGGTCCTGGTGCCTGTCCTGGTCCCAGTCCCAGTCCCAGTTCTGGTGATGGTCCCAGTGCTGTTACTGGTCCCAGTGCCGGTACTGCTCCCAGTGTTTCTACTGGTGCCAGTACCTGTCCCAGTCCCAGTCTTCCTACTGATTCCGGTCCCTGTGCTGGTCCCAGTGCCGGTACTGGTCCCAGTGCCGGTACTGATTCCAGTGCTGGTACTGGTCCCAGTGCTGGTACTGATTCCAGTGCCGGTACTGTTCCCAGTGCCGGTACTGGTCCCAGTGCTGGTACAGGTCCCAGTTCTGGTCCCAGTCCCAAAGCTGGTCCCAGAGCTGGTACTGGTCCCAGTGTTGCTACTGGTCCCAGTGCTGCTACTGGTCCTGGTGCCTGTCCCGGTCCCAATCCCAGTCCTGATGCTGGTCCCAGTGACAGTACTGGTCCCAGTGCCCGTGCTGATCCCAGTGTTGCTACTGGTCCCAGTGCCTGTCCCAGTCCCAGTGCCATTTGCAGTGCCATGCTGGTCCCAGTGCCATGCTGGTCCCAGTGCCAGTGCTGGTCCCAGTGCCGGTCCTGGTGCCCTTCCCAGTGTCCATGCTCCTCCCAGTGCCTGTGCTGGTCCCAGTGCCAGTGATGGTCCTGGTGCCAGTACTGGTCCCAGTGCCTGTCCTGGTCACACTGCTGGTCCCGGTGCCATTCCCAGTACCGGTGCTGGTCCCAGTGCCAGCGCTGGTCCCAGTCCTGGAGCAGATCCCAGCACCAGTACTGGTCCCAGGGCCTGTGTAGATCCCCATGCTGGTCCCAGTGCTGGTCCCAGTGCCAGTGCTGGTCCCAGTCCCAGTGGTGGGTCCCAGTTTATCCCAATCCCAGTACTGCGTCCCAGTCCCAGCCCCAGTCCCAGTGCTGGATTCGATGCTGGTTCCAGTCCAAACCCAGTTCTGGTCCCAGTTCCAGTTCCAGTCCCAGTCGCAGTCCCACTCCGGTCCCAGTCCCAGTTCCTGTCCCAGTTTAATCCAGTCCATTCCAGTCTAGTCCAGTCCAGTCCCAGTCCCAGTGCTGTCTCGGTTCTGGCGCTGGTCCTTGTCCAGTCCCGATCCCAGTCCTGGTCCCTGTTGCAGTCCCAGTCCGGTCCCAGTCCCAGTCCAGTCTCAATCCCAGACCCAGTCCCAGTCCCAGTCCAGTCCCAGTCCAGTCCCATCCCAGTCCCGGTTCAGTCCCAGTCCAGTCTCATTCCAGTCCAGTCCAGTCCCAGTCCCAGTTCCAGTCTCAGTCCAGTCCCAGTCCAGTCCTGTCAAAGTCCCAGTCCAGCCCCAGTCCCAGTCCAGTCTCAATCCCAGTACAGTCTGAATCCCGTCCAGTCCAGTCCAGCTCAGTCCCAGTCCCAGCCCAGTCCCAGTCCAGTCTCAATCCCAGTACAGTCTGAATCCCGTCCAGTCCAGTCCAGCCCAGTCCCAGTCCCAGCCCAGTCCCAGTCCAGTCTCAATCCCAGTACAGTCTGAATCCCGTCCAGTCCAGTCCAGCTCAGTCCCAGTCCCAGCCCAGTCCCAGTCCAGTCTCAATCCCAGT